ATGTGGCCCATTCGTCCACATGCATAGCATTGGCGATTGTCACGAACTCCAGCTCCTCCTCGAACCATTCCATTATTTGCATAACCTTCTTGCAAATTTGGAACTCCTGGTCGCCTAATCTCACCTCCAAATCTTGGTGGTGGTCCTCTTGTTGGTGCAAAACCTTCTCTACGTCGAAGGTTTCCCAACTCCATCGGTGTTGGACCAGATGGATCTCTAAAATTGCTCACTGGCTCACCGTGTGTGACACCAAAAGCACCTGAAATTCGTTGAGCAATTGCGATTGCTTCATTCACAGTAGATGGATTGCTTACCATCACCTCCTTTCGAATTCGATCTTTCAAGCCTCGTTTGAACACGTCCAAGGCTTCAGCTCCACTCATATCCATGATAGATACTTGAAGATCACGAAATTCTTCAATGTACTCATGAATACCTCCTTTCTGCTTCAGATCCCACAACTTCATTCTTGCAGTTTGAAGAGAATCCACCGCTTGAAAATTTTGCAGAAGTCCTTCCTGCATTCCACTCCACGAAATGGTAGCACCTCGTTCTGAAAGCATTCTCTCCCATGTTGTGTACCATGTGAGAGCCTTATCCGTAAGATAAGATCTCATGAACATTCCTGCAATATAATCAGAAACATGAAAATGGGATAAATGAATATTCATCCTTATAATTCATCCCTCTAACACTCCCATTGCTCTACTCCCTTTGTAAGCTTCCACCTTATAGGATTTTCCCATTCGAAGCAAAAGATTTGCTTGATCTTCAATCTCTTGAAGACGTCTCCTATTTGCCTCTGCTGCATCAATAGGAGTTGGTTCTGGCTGAACTTGGGAAGCTTGAACTTGAGGTTCAACTTCCATCTCTCCAACTCTACTTTCTCACTCTCTAATGCAAAGATTTTATCTTCCATGGCTTGCTGCTTGGTATGCCCATCTACTATCGCTTTTCTCAACTCCTTCATCTCTGCCATGATTGCATTGAGAACCTCACCCATATCAATTGATGTTCCCATGCTTTTTCACACTCCCTCTAATACAAAGTGAGTATAATCACTATGTGACCTCTCAACAAAGGAGTCACAAAAGGTGCAGGTGACTCTATCACAGCTCTATAGTACTCCTCTCCATAATTCCTCACAAGAAAATCTCTCCATATCCTCTTCTGTCTATATACTGTTCTAATCTCTACATAAGTGCTGAATCGAACCGGGACAGGTGGTTCGCGATTCAAATCCATGAAACAATCAGTATAGAATGTATATAGTACAATCCCAAGTCTCTCCATAAGTAACTATTGGAAGAATCAGTGGCACTCTTGACTCCATCACTCTAGTCATAAAATCTGCACCCCAACAAGCCACAAGGTACATCCGAAAATGATGTTTCTCCATGCAACGAAGGTGAATATCGAATAGGTTAGGAATTGGCCAGTGCGGTACTGGATTCCTGTCAATCCCGTCCATATCTGCAAAAACACAATGTCCCCCTTCCACCTCTCTCTACATGCAGATGAATGACCTCTGCCAGCCTCTATACACTCTCAAGACTACACTCCATCATCATTCACTTGCTATTCCATGAGGGGTAATCCACACTCAAGGAAAGAGCAAGGTCGCTCTGATACCATTGTAACACTAGGGTTTAGAGAGAAGTTCACTCGAAGATAGAAACGTAAACTCCGAAGATGAGAGATACCAACAATGGTTCTCCTCTCCCTTATATAGCTCTCACCAACAAGTACAAGGTGATAAGATCTAATCCCCACCATCCATACCACTCCTAGTGGATGGATGACGTGGCGGATAACCCTAACAAGCACACGGATCGCTGACGTGGCGCACCCAACTAACACACTAACTAACACACTCAATCCTTAGCTACAAGCACACGGATTGCTGACGTGGCTGTCAACTAACACATCCACTCTGTACCTACCAAGTGCGCGGATCGCTGACGTGGCAGCTATGACTAGTGCACACTAAAGTATCTACATCAATATTCAGAGTAACCTCTACTTTAGTTCTAACTAACTAAAGATGGTTACAAGAGGTTACTCTAAATATTGATATAGATACTTTAATGTGCACTAGTCATAGTTGACACGTCAGCGATCCGCACATTTGGTAGGTACAAAGTGGATGTGTTAGTTGACAGTGCCACGTCAGCAATCCCTGTGCTTGTACGTAAGGATTGAGTGTGTTAGTTGGAAGTGCCACGTCAGCGATCCGTGTGCTTGTTAGGGTTATCCGCCACGTCATCCATCCACTAAGAGTGGGATGGATGGTGGGGATAAGATCTTATCTCCTTGTATTTGTTGGTGAGAGCTATATAAGGAAGAGAAAAACCATTGTTGGTATCTCTCGTCTTCAGAGTTTACGTTTCTATCTTCGGGTAAGCTTATCTCTAAACCCTAGTGTTACAATCTCAAACCAAATATCTTAAAGCAAATGGAATTGGCGCAAACAATAACAGATTTCTTTGAAGCATTGCGTGAGAAGTATCACAAGAAGGAACTTTCAAATTGGTTGTATAGAGTTTTGACGTTTACCAACTTTAGGATGGCGGAAGGTACTAACATCCAAAACCATGTAGATGATTTTCATGATTTGATTGTGGATCTTGAAAACCTTAGAAAAAATTTGAGTGATGAATAAAAAACAATTCAATTGCTAAGTTCTTAGCTTGACTCTTATTAGTTTTTGTCATGAGTTTTGCTTCACCGTAACAAGGTAAACATCACTTACAATGAAGTTGTTAGTGGTTTAGTGACTGACGATGTGCAACAGAAGCTGTTGGTGTCTGTGCATATCTCTTCATGTCAATTTATTTTATCGTCTATTGCCTTGACAGTGTTTTGTGGTAGCACGCCTACCAAGGAAAAAGGAAATGGAAAGATCAACATCAAGTTTAGATACAAGTTTAAGTCTATAAATGATAAGAACATCAATTGTTGAAAATATGGCAAATCTAATCACATCCGCAAAGATTGTCGTAGTAAGGCAACCTGTGAACCCTTGGCAAGCATGGTTGTAATTGAGGATTCCAAATATGATCTTTGTAATTTTGTACATTTTGGAAACGATCAAAAGATTTTGGATTCAGCTTACTATTACCACATTTGTCACGTTAAGAATTTTGTTAGTTCTTAAATTTTGTCAACTATTACAATTTTGATACAAAATGATCATCCCTGCAAAATTTTTGACATTGGATCCGCAAAGATTCAAATGTTTGATGGGGTGATCCGTACCTTAATCAACGTACGGCACATCTCTAGTATGTGTAAGAATTTGATTTTACTTGGAAAATTGGAACAAATCGAACATCAATAGTGGAATTTTGAGTGTGATGGATGGTTTTCATATTCTCATGAAGAGTTCAAAGCTGAAAAATCTATAGATTTGAAGGGTACAATGATCTTTGGAGAGACATATACTACTACATTTTCAAATTTTATTTTGTATTTGTGGTACAACTGAGAGGGCCACATGAATGAAAAGGGTTTGGCCATTTTACACAAATAGAGCTTATTGCTTGAGATGAAACGATGAAAGCTCAAATTTTGTGAGCAGGATGTATTTGGCAAACAAACAAGAGCGACATTCGGCGTTGGAGTGCATAGCTCACAAAATATTTATGATTACCGGTACATTCTATCGTTGTGTGGGGATATTTAACTTCTTTCTCACACTTTAGAAAGGTATACTACGTAACCTTTGTGGATGACTACTCGAAAGTGGTGAGTATTTACTTCATGCAACAAAAGTATGAGGTTTTTGAAAATTTCAAAAACTAGAAGATTCTAGTTGAGATCTAGATTGGAAAGAAGATGAAATACTTGCGCACAGGTAATGACGGGGTGTACAATTCAAGGAAGTTTTAATTGTATTGCAAAAGAGAGGGGATAACTCGTCATCTCATCACATCGTATACTTTGGAGCAAAATTGTGTGTCTAAGAGACTCAACCACACATTATTGAAGCGATCTTGTATGTTGAGTCTTGCTGGTTTAATTTATACTTGTTGGTCCCAAGTTGTGAATACTTCAGTTTAATTGATAAATCTATCTTCTAATAGCTCTATCAAGTTCAAGATATACTTTGAATTGTGGTATAACCATTAGATGATTATTTTTTAAGAGAATTTTTTTTTGTGATGCTTATGTTCTTTCTTCAAAATATAATATAATTAAACTTGATTCGTAAGATTGTAAAATAAAACTAGAAGTAATCAATGAATTAATTATAATTAATTTGATTATAACTAAATCTAGTTAATTATAATTAAATTTATCAAATCATAACTATATTCAATTATAATGTTTATACTTGATGAAATAACTAGAAAATTTGAATAAACATCGATTTTCAAACAATGTATTTCTTTGTAAAATAACTTTTTTAATACATAATTATATGCATAGATTGAATTTAATTTGTCAATTGATTTATTTTTCAATCTTTGATATAATATTTATAGTTACTGAATGATACAATTTTTCTATTCAGATTTTGTAGACAAATAAATTATACATGTTATGGGATAAAAAAGCAAATACAAAGAAACTTTGAGAAACTAGCTTCTTGTCTATTCACTTGATTCTTTGTATATCCTTTGGTTGCACATGAACTCATAAATATACTTTCAATTCCTGCAGTGGATAAGCTACGAAAATTGAACTCACAACAAGATGGTAAACATGCAGTATTATATTGCAAAATAAGGATATCTTCTCATCAAGGAAAAAATACGCAATACTTTGCAACATCGGGCAACGCTATCGGCAAGGACCTACCATTCAATAGCTTCACATTTTAGCTAAATTCTGATATTTGGTGCTCACAGTCAGTCCCTCTTGCCCTGTAAATGTCACACTCTCGAAGCAAGGAGAAGATCACAAGTTCTATGGCCACGCAGCTCCATCATCTGTGGTCGTGATAATGATGTCACTGGGTGGTGACATATTTATCAAAACTTACATTCACGTCTTCTGCGATTCAGCAGCTGTCTCGTGGAAGAGGTAACTGCATGGAAAGATCGAGACGGAGTAAAGCCGAGAGCAAATCAGATGAACACGGGAGCGAGTAAGACAGCAAAGAGGCGGAGAGCAAGTCGGAGACAGAGGATGTGAGACCGGAGATCGCTGTGGTGGGAATCTCCGTGACACTCGTGCTTGTGCTGGACCACGAGTGGGAGAATCGTCACGGATCAGACCCACCTGCTTCTGTTGGAGGTCGAAAATTCTCGACACCAATTGTCGGACCCTCTCTCGCCCAGGATCTCGCCTGAATTTCGATGTGAGGACGGGTAGGAATACTACGGTGCTTCGGTGTCGGATTCCTCGATCCCTGCAAGAACTTTTGCTCATTGTACACACGGAATTCTTAGAAGCCCTAAATTCGGAGATTGCTGAACTCTGCGATTAGACCGCTATCTCAATCTCATGAACTGTCAGCTCGTACCTCAAAATTCGGCACGAGTTTTCAGACGGAGTGAAGTTCGGAGCCATGGCTGCGGCAGGTGCATTGCTGGGAACGGGTTCGGCTACGCGGTCATTGTGAGGCGAGGCAAATCTCAGTCCAGCCACAATCCTTTCAGAGGTGGAAGATTACAGTGGCGCAAGAATCGTCGAAAGAATGGAGCAGCGGTGGTCCGATGGCAGGCGAGGAGCGGTGGGGAGCTGGACGAGAGGTCTTGGCCTGCGCTGGGAGTATTTCACAAGACCGGAGATGTGATCGCCGAGAAGTACAAGATAATCAGCGTTCTGGGTCGAGGAGGGGTTTGCACGACCTATGAAGCGGAAACCGAGGACGGGAGCAGCACGGTTGCTTTGAAGGCCATAACCCTGAAGTTTATGAAAGGGTGGAAAGATCTCGAGCTCTTCGAAAGGGAAGCGAGGGTTCTGAAATCCTTGAGACACCCGGGCATTCCGGAGTACATAGACTACTTCGAGGTGGACACAGAGACAGACAGAGCATTCTACATAGCGCAAAAAGTAGCCAAGGGTAGGTCGTTGGCGGAGGCTGTACAGAATGGATCGAGAATGACGGAGGAGGATGTCGTCCGCATCGCATTCGAGGTGTTGGAGGTGCTGAAGTACCTGGGGAATTTGAGGCCTCCAGTTTTCCACAGGGACATCAAGCCCGAGAACATCATCATGGACGAGGAGACCGGGCAGGTCAAGGTGGTGGATTTTGGTGCAGTGCAAGATGCAGCTTCCATGACGGTGATGGGGAGTACTGTGGTCGGCACGTACGGCTATATGGCTCCCGAGCAATTCCAGAACAGAGCGACAGCGCAAACTGATCTCTACGGACTCGGGGGTACACTCCTCTACCTTCTGTCCGGTCAGTCCCCTTCGTCCTTTCCTCAGACTCGGCTGAAAGTTGACTTCGGTGCTGTCACAATGAGCCCTGCCCTGCGATCCGTAATCGACAAACTTCTGGAGCCTGCTCCCGAAGACAGGTTTCAGTCAGCAGAGGAGGTAATCGCCGCTCTCAAGGCCGTGAAGGAACCTCCGGCCTCTTTCCGAGTGGGCTCGAATGCCTACAAGGTCGAGCAGCGAAGCGTGCAGAGGATTTCGCAACCAGCTGGGACAAAGATCGACCTGATAAGGACCGATGACAGCTTGCAAATTGAAATTCCTCCGGTGGGGCTCACTGCGGAGACTGTAGGAACAGGTACTTTTACAGTGGCCTGGAATGCCTTCATTGTTTTCTGGACAGCAACGGCGATCAGAGGGGGAGCTGGTGTCATGTCCTTGTTTTCCATACCCTTCTGGGTTGTGGGTTTCGGACTTGCCAAGAGCACATTGTCCAACCTCACGGTGAGCGTGAGTCTAGAAATTGACCGAGAGGTTTTCTCTGTAGAATGGAAAGTTGGAAGGTTTTGGAAGCACAGGGTTTCTGGTCAGGTCAGAGACATCAACTCCGTGGAATTGATTTCGGAAGGTGCGTTGAACGGGAAGCCAATAACGGCCTGCAGGCTGAACGAGGGTGTAAACCGTCACCTTTTCGGATCGGGACTAGAGGAAATTGAGAAAAGTTGGATTCTTCAGGAGATTAGTGACTTTCTGGACCTGCCCCCTCCTCAAGAATTGCCTCCTCTCGTGCGGCAGATCGATCCCTCAAGAAATCGTATGGGAGGAAGAGTCTTCAGACGAACTAGTCGTTCTTGGGATGATTCCGGGTTCTGAACTGCAAGCTGATCGTGTCCGGATCATATTGTACAATATGTCTATCAGAAGTAGGTTGTCAATATTTGTGCCACGATCGTTGGTTGCAAAATGTAACATCTCCATTCTTCCTGCTCACGAGATCTGTACATTCATCTGACTAGGAAAAAATATCTTAATCCTTCTGCAAGCTGTGTCATAATGCAAAAGTGAACCATCTGTCTCGGTCGCCAGTGGTAATTGTTGTGCAGGGAAGAATTGGGGAAACTTGTTCGGAGGCCTCTGAATATCCTTGCGAAAGTACTCAGAGCACGGAATTTTTACGTAACGTAGACTTTTCATCTGCTTGTTAGAACGAGAAGACTCGGCTTTGAACTCACATCGTGCGATATCTGCTGCAGTAGATAACAAGCGGTTTGCTAGGAATGATCATGAGTGCACCCTGCATAATTTCGGCATCTGTTCTCCTCAGCAGACCTGGGGTCACTTAGTTCACCTCGATGCAGTCTCAACCACGAAAAGTGGGCACAGTAATATAATCCACTAGACCTTTCGAAGGTGAAGGTCATTCGCGTAAAGTTCTGAGCGCTTTTGGTATTCCTTATCCCCACATAGTTCTGCAAAAAGCTGTCATAACCTGTGGAGTGAAACTGCCGTGGGAGGATCCATGTTCCATATACCGGGATGATCTAAGAGACTTCTCTAAGGCAGATATTCCACTTCAGGAAGAGCTTGGAATCCTTACAGGATCTGGGATTTATATGAAAGATTCCCAACAGGTGCATCATCTTTGTCAGAACATCCAGAGGCCTAACCTCAACTATATTTCTGGACTTTGGGGAAGGAAAATCTCAAGGATGGATCGCAAGTGAAACATGGTTGTGAGAATTGAGACACGAACATAGAATTGAGTCTGGTATAGAAATATTCGGGTAGAGAGTTTCACCGTAGGATTTTAAGACGAGGTTGACGTTGGCAATTTCAAATAATTATGGATCATCGTTGTCCAGTTGCCACGAAGTTATTGGAAGAGTTAATGACACCAGTCACAAGCGAATTTACTAGCATAAATGAACCTCGTGTATGAAACAGGGAGAGCTAGTGACGAGTTGAGGACCAACGACAAATTATTTTCTTTACTTTACTTGTTCTCCTTTTTCATTTCCATCTGCTAATTGTTGTTTGTGACCGTTCATGTTTTTTACTTCTCACAAGATGACGAAGAAATTGTACAATAATGGCTGACAAACATCCTGCATATCAGCCGTCTAAGTAGATAGATGTGAGAGGCCCAAAGCGAGTGAGAGAGTGGAGTTCGATATGATTGCGATTTGATGATTGTTTGCACGCAGTGTAGATGCCTTGTCAGTGTCAATCACTATTGGCACGGCAAGTGGGTTGACAAGGAGGAGTTCGGGTTGACGATGTTTGTTGCTTTGTTATGGAGAGAGTTGGATAACGATCGAGTTTTGCAAACCAGTCGTCAGCGATTTAAGTGTTGTCTCTTGTCTTGGCTACGTTGGAAGTCATCACTGGATCTTGAGTCCCTTCATTCCTGGCATTTTATGTACCTCCAAGAACTTCAATATCATTATGCAATTTTGAATCAAGTGAGCATTGTCGTTATATTGCCTTGTCATTGTACACTTTGTGAAGAGTAGAAGAGATTTTCTTGTAGCAAGATTTTTTACAAAACGTTTAAATAATCTGAATGTTGCTTCAGGAACTTTTGTCGTAAGCTTAAACTGAGTCGAAGAGTAGAAGTGTGGATTGAACCTAATGGATTATACGAGACCGGTTGGATGTCGGATCTTGGAATAAAGTTCCAACGAATGCTTGTGGCGAATTCCTTGCCTTGTTATTGTTTCAACAATCTCGTAGCCACGTGTGGAATTCATTGTGAGCTTCGGGATTGACATAGACTTTGATTCTCTTTTGTTCCAAAGTTATACTTGGAAACCTTGTCACAATGCTCTAGCACTCACCAACATTCAAACTCAGATAAAAATGACCTTATTACACAATACTAATATTTGGCTGTATCTATGATTCATAATAATGTACATACATAAGATGAAGTATACAAATACATTTGTTACATACAAATGTACAAATACACTTGGTTTTCTTTCAACTCGAAAGTTGATGCAGCGTAGAGACCAATTCTCTGTACTTTTATATTTTGAAGACACTGATTTTGACCTTATTGTCTTTTCTAAATACTGCTCATCATATGCTCAAAAACTATATTGTATATAATTATCCTTTTCAATCAAGTAACAAAATCAATGGCAAAAATTAAGCAATGGTTTGTAACTTCTGGTGGAAAAATCTAAAAAACTGAAGGCAAAGGAATAAATCTAAAAAGGAATCATGGTGTACATCGACATTGTCTCGTGCATTTAGGACTCGTCGGTACCCAGTGACTTACCCATGCAATCAACATATGACGTGATCCATCTCTACGACGTGAGCATGCAAGATTATTTGCGTTAGAGGCGAACACAGAAACAACATCTGGATTCTTCAGGAAAGGCAGAAAAAGATCAGATTCAGAGTCGTCAGATGACAACTCTGTATGAGTTCCTGTAACTGATCACAGGTGGGTGGAAACCGTAGGCGGACCATCGAAACACGAGAGCCATAAAGCTTAACTTCTATCGTTCGTACGAACGAGCACAATCCTGCCCCCGCCAGCCATAAATCAGCAACCGCCACTCGTCCCCGCGTCCCCTCGAAAAGAGGTCAGATTACAATTGATATCGCGAGGACTGACGACATCTTTGCACGACAAAGCGAGCTCTGGGGCCTTAGATCCAGGCGATCTTAACTACCCCATCGCATCGTGCTCCCAGTGCTCGGCCGCACTGCTCCTCCTGCCATCGCTGCTGCATGGATAGGTGCGAAGTTTCCAAATCTGAACAAACCGGTTTTTGAGAACTGGGTGCTAAGCGAGAGTAAAGGGAATTTAATCGTGCCAATTTGACACCATGTAACTGGATTAGGGCTTCACGAATTTCTCGCTTTAGTACCGGTCCAGACTAGAAGGAAAGCAACAGACCTTGAGTGAGGAAGAGCTCTATTTCCTGAATCTTCCAGTTGACCTGGAGTCTTTGTATGGAAATTCTACCCAAACATATACTTCGAGGAGATGTTATCTGAAAGTATGATGATGACATCCCTTGAGATCCAAAACTGGTATGCTATTATTCGGCTCAGGAATAAATATCGGGCCGCGTCCGAAAGGCAACGTTGGAGCTTTCGAATGGGTGGGAAAAAGGGCTTAAGAAGCTCGTATAGAAGTTCCTAGTGTGGCTGATACGAGTAACGATACATCAAGTGAAAAACATGATCGCTGGGTTTCTGCGGTTAAATATTATCAACCTGAGATTGTTCGCAACGAAATGTGGGACCAGACATGTCAGAGAAATTCTTAAATAACACTCTGCTTCTGTACATGCTCTGCATGCAATGAGATCGATAAACATCCTGATTCAACCTCCCACGATACAAAAGCAGAGCAATATCTTACACTATCTCATGTCCATGAAATAAACTTGTGGAGCAAGACCTGAATTACTGAAGGTTTTGTTGCTGTACAGAATACCAGTTTTCATGCGTGCAAAAAAAAATGTTGATTCCTTGGAGCAACTGAAACTTGTCTATCCTGATATCTCTCTCAGGATAGACACTCTGTACTCTGAGAGAGTCCGAGAGAAGATGAGTAGAATGACGATGGGAAAAGCCCCGACGTTGAATCACAAAGCCAGAAAAGAAGGGGCCCCGAATTTTCACGGTAATGATATGCATGCTAATCAAAGTTCATCACCGAGATGTTCTAAAAGGCTGGAATCAGCTTCCACGACCATGATGACATCTCCTGGTGACCTACCCGGGTACGCATGCAAGTGCGCCAAAACACCCACCCTGGAGCGGACGTTCCTCAACACATTCGCGGGTCTCCCCGAACCAAAGTCTATTTCATAAAATGGGAAACGGATCTGCCAAGAGCCCAGGAGAACAGATTTCATGTCCCGCCCACCCAACATGTCCTGTGCAAACTCCGTCCCCTGACAGAAATCGATCGTGCGTCTGATTGCTGCGTTGTCGATACTGCGATGAGAATCGTGTATGGCCGTGGCAGCAAAACGTAGCGGCTGTGACAAGAGGTCCCCAGCCTTGGCTTCAGCAACTGTCCCCCTCGTCGTTGAATAAATGCAGTTGCCGAAGTAGCCGGGAGGGCAGTTTTCCAACCTCGATCTGCCATTGACGATATTGACATACGCTATCTCTTTGTCGTGCTCGACGCCCGCAATCCGCGTCACATTGCGCCACAAGTGCGCGCACGCGCAATCGGCAGTGGAGAGAACCTTGCCCCGGCCAATGTCCGATTGTTCAGAGTCTCGGGCTTGGGCTTTCAGCTCTTCGAGTTTTCTTCTGCTGTACCTCAAAGTTTTGTACGCCAGGGGCGGACGATACCGCTGGGACATAGTGTTCCCTCCGTGAGAGACGGGTCTCGTCTTGGGAGCTTCAGCAGTCGCCGATGCCTCCTTTCCGGCCTTCAGGATCCAGCGTGCATGCACTGGAAGGAGCGAAATGGGCTCCCCTCGACAGATTTCTGCCCAGGATTGCAAAAAGTGGAGACCCGAGAACCCATCTGCCAGCATGTGACTGTAAGAAACGCTCAGAGCCACGGTCCCACATTGGAATTCTGTCACCTGATTTCCAGCTCAAGATCACAAATCCAACGTGTTGGTCAGGAACAAGTTCAATGTCAGGAACTGCAAATCTTGGAGGTGTCTGCAGTTCCCAGTGCTTTGTTCAATGTAGTCTCACACCATGAAATTCCTCATCACAGAGGAATTTCATGATGTGAAAATTTCAATCGCTTGACAGAGGACTCATTCTAGGAGACATCTAGCTTAGAGTGAAAATCAGTCGTTCCCCGGTCCCGAAAAGAGGCTAATCAGTAACCGAATGAACAAAGAGCTATCAAACTTCATTTGCTTCAAAATAGCCTCGTAGCTTGAAACGTAACTCGTGAAGTTCTCATAACAATTATCCTCGCCAAGTATACGACTCAAATAATCGAGAACCGAAAGCATGCGGGATCGATCAGGAGTCAGATGTTGATGAAAAGACATGTGAAAGGGTATTGCCCGGCTGCAGCTGTGAGCAATACAGGGATCACCTGCACCACGAGCGCAGTTAGTCCTGATGAATCGTAAACTGGTGAGCGAACTTTCAAATGAGAATATCCCGACAACCGCTCATCTGGCTGGAAGTTGTCTTCGTCTATGATTTCCGATGCAGCACCATCGTACCGCTTATGATACCATTCAGCTCCTTGGTTGTTACAGAACACACGAACGAATTCCTGTGGTCCGTTCTTTATCAGCCTGCCTGCAAGAGGGTAGAAATGGACCAACACCTTCTCCAGAGATCGAATCAATTTGTCGATTGGCAGAACTTCAGAAGCATCACAGTTCTCGTTTGAGAGCTCACACTTGGGCTTGTACAGAAACACATGTGATGAAAAATTTCCCAATAAAAGCTGGTCTATTTTAGCCAACTCCATCCACTCTGGATCCTTACATTCGTCAGCTTTCACCAGACGTGAGCTAACAGTCGTCCACTTGGAGCTCAAGAGAGGAGCCACAGGCTGGGCCATGTCTGTGTGTCTGTCTGTGTCTCTCGTATCTCTCTCTATCTCTCTCTCTTGATGAGATTTATAGACAAGCCAACGATTGAGTGCAAACAGGAGCATTCAGCATCTGCACTCTATTCGGTTTTACCTTGCGAATATATTCGTACATTCGATTTCTGTATCAACAGTTACTACTTACCTTGAGGTGACAGATTTAAGTAGACGTTAATGGTGGCATCCTTTCCTACAGTATATGCTCATACAAGTCCCTTTCATGGACCGAGTTAACACTAGCTTCAAACTTTTAGATCTCTTCAAGTCAATTACTCCAACTTTTGCGCTGAAATTTTTGTAGTTTTCAACATTTCTTGCTCTAGCCTCCAAACATAGTGTAAAAAATTGACTTTAGAATTGATAAGAACACATACTTAACTTGTTCTATACTCTACAAGTCACATTACTAGGTTTTTTTCTCAATAAATCATTACCATTCATATTTTTAAATATATTTCACAATTTTATTTTCATCTTTCTTACAGTATGTTTTGAACATACATATCTTTTGAATATATGTAAACATTAATGCGAAGATAATGATCTATCGTAACCACACTCTTGTGCCATAGTAGATAGTACATTACTTATGATGGGATATTTATAGTTTTTGTCTGAAAAGATATTATTAATTTCATATATATTTATTTGAAAATTCAAAATTTTAAGCTGTATAGTCATATAGATCATAGAATCATTAGCTGTATAGTCATATAGATGGACTAAAATGATTCCTAAATGGCTGTCTAGAGAACGAATCAAAGTTTAGATCAAGTCAGTTGCACGAGGACGTGTCCAACTCGTGAGTTACTGGTGAACATGACGACAAGGACTTATATTATGCGATCCACAATTGGTACTTCTTTCGGAACTCAGAAAAAGTACATGGCATGAAGAATCGCACTTTACCTCTAGCATTATCAAAGTTGGATTGTAATCCAACTTCCAACATGATAATCTGCAACATCTAAGCACCATGGTGTGCGGTAAAACTTGTTTCCTTATAGTTTAATATAATATTTCTGTGTCCACAACTCCACAAGGATCGATGGTCAATGCTTTCCATAGCATAGAATATTCTTGTTGTGGTTGATTTATGATGTTTTAGACACAATGGGACATATTTCGCATTTTCGTATAACTGGGGCATAGCCTCATCCTATCATACCCTCTGGTTTCATCAATGTACCATTTCATTGTATTAGACACTTTTCGCTTAATTACTAGAATATATTTCTCCGAAGGCGAAACAGATCTCTACTCTACAAGAAATGTGGAAACCCACGGGACTTTGTTCTGGTCAATTCGTAGCGCAGGCTGAGATTGCCCAACGTTGGACGCTTCAGAAGCTTCAGATGACGCAGGTGAGCTCGGGGTGCTTTGTGTCGTTATCTGCGATGTGCTCCTCAACTGGATCGTTCCCCCGCCCACCGAACAGTTAGAACATATTTGCCAGGACGAGGAGATTGACGAGCTCGGGGATTTCGTGTCAGGTGCGGCGGAAGAGAACTGGGAGCTGACAGAGTTTTGAGACGTGAACGAGCATGACGACTGCCGAAGAGGAGACACCGCGAGCGATGGAGCCATGGGAGCAGCATCATGCTGTCATCAATATGCCGCGTTACGCTTACAATGCAGCTTCGATACTGCAGAAAGGGAATGTGGGATTCCTCATCACTTGTACATTCCGTGAGTTCGAAAAGCAGACCCATTTTTTTTTATCACTTGCTTTTGAGTTGTTTGCCTCCTGTAGACTGACAGTGATCTTTCCGAGTCCTGCGAGAAGATAACCGATCGATGGAATTCGTGTTCAGTGTGCAATTTACTCTGTTTCTCCGCACTCTTTCTCGTTTTCACTTTTCTAAGCAGTCTTTTACCAATTAGTAATGTCAATCAATACCATCTGCAATATAGCTGGAGAATTTGAATACTCGACGTCCAAGTGAACTCGAGGTTTGCATGTCTTTTACCAATACCCGGTACTTCCAGCTGAGTGTCTACATTTCCTCGAATTGACACTCTGCCGCTTTTCTTTTCTTCTAGAAGTCCCTATTGATCAGGGCTTGTGGGGATTGACCTGCGGTAGGGCGGGAGAAGAGTGCAACTAAGGAGGCATTGGCTCTGCTTCGAGAGGTCTGCACGTCTTCCCCTCCCACTCTCCTGTACTTCCGATATTCGAAGCAGACTTTAGGTTTGCAATCGTGTGGTTTATATGTAATTTCTATGGTTTCCTTAGCTTACTTTCGCAGTTTGAACCCTTGAAACTACCTCGTCCGATGTGTTGCTCTTCGTCTTCTCGGTGAGAAAATACTTATTTTAGTGTGTGGACTGGTCAATCTGTTAAAACTACTTGGCAGTGATTAGAATTGTCCGTAACAGGTACCTTGTTTCTGCCACTGATATATGTGTTTCGGGCAGTTTATGAAAGTCACAGGTCCAATTATTGCAGTGACTCCCACACCTGCGACGAACCTTACAGATGTACAGACGCCACCAAGCGTGGAGCAAGTGAATGAAAACTCCGTCAAACCGCAGCTCAGTGTTGGACCATCTGGTACAGAGGAGATTACGGGTGGAGCTGCTCTTACTGAGGACGGCCGAAAGATTACAGAGATTGCCTCTGGAGTTGGGGCTAGCCCAGATGAATTGAACCAAGATGTAACCGATACATTGTCTACGACGAAGAGCACTGAAAGTGGAAGTGAAGCTGAGGGCCTTATTAGGAGTGAAGATGCAGGTGACAACAAGCCCACATCTGTAGATAATGAGTTTATGCTGGTTAAACTGGCTACCATGGGTGTCATTCTCATCTCTGCATCGCAAGAATCTCCAAGAAGTGTTTTGAGCATTGCTACGAGAATAATAAAGGACGTTCAAGGAAGGTCAAGGCCTCCTCCCCAGTAAGTTGTTTCATCAATCTCTATCTCCGTAGAAGGCTGTATGTATGAAACATGAAAAAATTCTGGCATTGATTTCGCGTACCATAAATCCAGATGGATTATAGAAAACAACTCTTTCTAATAGTCGGTCCCTTTCATATTCTTGGTTTAGGGATTTGCAGAGTTAACGTCAGAGTTGCTACAGGGTGGCTATTTTGTTCGAAGTTGTGTGTACATTTAGTCTAATGAGGGCTCCTCAATTTCTGCAACTTGTAGATGGTGTCACCGCATGTTACCTGTTCAAGGAACCTGTTCCACGAATCGTGAGGAGGTGCAAGCACTGGTTTCCCGATTGGTCAAAGATTATTTGGATAACACTTCTTCTGTTGGTGAAGAACCGATCCATGTGAGTAATGAAAAGAATAATCTTGATTGCATTTAGATACGTTCTACCTGTTGTTAGAAAATGTTGAAGTGACATCTAAAGTCCAGGCTGCTCCAAAAGTAGTATTCGGGGAACATAATTAAATGTTGTGCATGATGATGATCAAGAAAGTCTCATTTGCTGGAGGACCGGAACCTGCATAAATGTGCCTACGCAAATTACCACTTTCGGACGCGTAGAAAGTTAGTGAATGCTTCATTTGCATTTCATATTGCTTCTTATATATCTCGGCAGTATGCTGTAGCTTTCAACAAAAGAGGAGCTGAGGGGACGAAATCGGATCACAATCAGACGGATAATAGTACAGAAGCTCCTACTTTCGACCGTGGTGAGTGTATAAGGGTCGTGACTGCTGCAGTTCACCAAGTTACTTCCAATGTGAAAGTTGATCTGACTTCTCCTGAGGTATGTAATCTCCTGACAACTTGACTGCCGTTGATCTGAAAGTTATTTATAACACATTTTCCCAAGTTCACATCAGTCTCAGCAAGGTAGAGAACAACCTATAAAGATGGAATTGCAATAATCTTAAACCTGGACATCTTGCAGATGGTAATCATTGTGGAGCTAGTTCCCGTTGCTGGAGCGAAGAGTTCTCTCATATGTGCAGTTTCCGTTTTACCTGGTGACCTTGTCACCTCCAAACCAAAGCTTACTGTGAAACCTCTTGCCCCTCAGTCTAAGAAGAGGAAACACCACTGATCCACTATTTACGTTGATTGTGCTGTTGAGATCGATCCGGACAACCCGATGGTGATCGTGAGTCTAGAGCAGAGACTGGCTGAGGAATCTTGCTTCCTCACACAGACGAGAACTAGCATTATTTGTAGACATTTTGTACTTTGTAGCACTAGCATTGTCAGGAGCCTGTTACTGGTCACTCAGAGTTCTTCTCGTTCTTCAACTGATAAATGATCAAGTTTGAAGGAAGGCACGTACTCCCAGTACAGCTTATTGACACCAAATAGTTGTCACCCATAGATGTTATGTTGCAAGAAAGCAATGATAGTGGCGTAATTCTCTGTTTTTGATCACTTTTTTCATGTTTCAACTGCTGTTGTTTGAAGCACAAAATTAACGTCTTTGTTGTGTTCATGACACTGCTTTAAATCTGCTGGAAGTGTCTGTTAGTAACTTTCGAAGGTAGTAATCTTACTCCATGATGATGTTCTTCTCAAAATCGTTGGTAACAGATAGAGTCATCAGTTTGACATCCGGTCACAACCCTTGACGTGTTACCGGAAAAGTTAGTGCTTGGCGCATGACCCGCTCCATGCCTGTGCTGTATGTATAGAATTCAAATTTTGGACACTAGATAATAAATACGGCCATAATTTCAACCAGTCACGCATCATTCACCGTACATTTGAGACCATTCCAAATGTCTTCCATCAATCTTCCACAATTACTTTTTGTCAAGTCACTACTGGAAGACCTTGACGGGCTATAGGTTCATGAGGTCAGGGAGCGACACCCCAGTTATAACATACTTCTGACAGCCGTAAGAGCACAAAAGCGGCTATCACTACCTATGGAGTCACATTATCGTGAACAACCCTATCCTCATTACCAAGTAATCTTTTACATTGGAAGCTATCAAGGCAAATCTCTATAAGTTGATTACAATCATTTCTGTCTAATTCTATAATTCGAACGCAGTTAGTTTACTTTGCTTATTATTCTAAGTAATATGTTCTTTTAGACATTACAGTTTCAAATACATATCAAGATTCTTAAAAAAACACTAAATAACCAACAGATTTGGATACAAGCTTCCAAGAGCAGTTTCGTTCATGACATCAACTTTCAATAAGTTACAAGTGGTTGTGTTTGTGAGCATCTCCAATATAGATCACCTAAGCACGCATATTGCTCTGTGAGTGATTTTTGCAACTATAAATTTCACCCGTCAGAACTGAATTGAACTCTCACGCGCGCAAGAGTGAGCGACTGGTGTCCACGAGTAAGCGATGTTAAAACCCCAAGGTCGGTTGTTGTTGGTGAAATAGCTAAAGCTAGGATAGAACTGGTCCGGTTATAAGTGACTGTGTGATGAAACTTATTCTCTACATGACCATGCTTTTCCGATCAACGTAGCCGCTTGTCACACTATAGTGGACCTTTTACCTTCAAAAACAGGTTCCCACAGTGGAGAGTCTGTGACTTGTACACCGTGTCTAGCAAAAAAGTAATTGGCTGGATGGACCGGTTAACCTTTTATTTCTTAACCGGTTGACCGGACCGTGGCCAAGCCTAGTCCGAGTCATTGTGCAATCTTGACTTTCCATAGATAGAAGATGTGATCATAATTTACACAGCCGGCCTGACTGAAATAAATAGCACCTCCTCCTTCGAGTTGAGTTTACCGCTGCGGTTGTGGAGGATGACCTCGTCTAGAGGTTCTGGACGGTTGAAATCCGACTGCCTCCGACTGGGCCCGACAACGACACGACCACCGTAACTTCCGCCATGTGCACTCGCACAAGGCGGATCTCTGACTGGGTCCGACCACGACACGACCACCGTAACCTCCTTCTTGTGCACTCACACAAGGCGGATGTCCGACTGGGCCCGACTACGACACGACCACCTTAACTTGAGTGTTCTTTTGGGACGTGGAGTACGAAGTGATTGTAGCAGAATGATTGGTAATTGTGCGTTTAATAAGCCAGGTCAAAGAGATATTCATTACAGAGAGTATGGTATAAATATGAATTCCCGCATAGGATGATACTAGATTTCAACTCCAAGTACCAAGATTAGAATAGATAGAACTTTGATGTGAACTTTTCTCAGCTCCAAATCAATTATATAATGCAGTATTTATTATTAGAAACTAACAATCTATAGTACCAAACTGAATCATGATTTCTGTAGGTGGTAGTGAAGACATAGGTACATGTATCAGTATTGTGAATCTTATCCAACGATACACACTACCATTGGTTACTAGTAACTTACTGTCACCTAGGAAAAAAATAATCACAATACAAGACTATATAATAGAAAAATACTCCAAACATTATTGTCAGGTAAAGCTAGTTGAATTCACACGCAAGACCTACACTACCACTCAAATTGTTAGATTATTTATTCACCTTATCATTTTCTGCTCCATATTTTCCAAATTTCATGAGGATTCTAAAATATGAAAAGTTCATGGATAGATGGTAACATGTTCTCATGACAAGAAAAGATGAAAATTAATGAACAGATAGAGGACTGCTATCAAAATGCATTCTTCTTATACATTTCTGTAATCATCAATACAAAATCTGATTTGATTTCAATATTATTATATAATTAAAGTAATATCAAATATTACTATATAATCAAAGTAATGGATGAATAATCGATGCACATTATCCGTAAATTACTTTCTTCCAACCCTTTAATCATACTTCTGAGGCAAATAATATAAACTCTAATTTTCAAATAGTGTGGACTTAATTCTATATAATAGAACTACATACAAGTACTCTAGCTTGGAAAAAATACAGTATCAAAACGAGCGCATCAATCAACCGAAAAAAAAATTTCGAGTTTGAATCAAGCCAAACATACATCTATCATCCTTTTTTCACATGAAGAATAAGAAATAAATCCGAATGTATAATATATTTTCAAAAACCTTGAATCTGAATGTAATTTTAGAATTGTTATTTTTATAACCCAACTCAAAGATATATTCTGATTTATCAATAGAAATTTTACCTTTTAAAAATTTTGTTCAAAATAGCAAATGTTGTGAATGTTGTGCAAGAATCATTAAATCCACAAGCAAAAAAATTGTGGACACTCAAATACGTGATTTGCATTCTCTGATTTGCATTGCATACGAGATTAAGTGGTTCATTGAAAAAACTTAAAATTGTTCTAGAAGAGATGTGTCATATAAACGTGCTAGTTGCAACTTTAGTATTAATCAAATCATTAACTAATTTGAGTCACAATTCGAATTAGGTTGACTTAAGACTTGGTTTAAGCCCAAAAATCTCTTACTTAACTCATTTTGAAAGAATAATAATCTATTAAGCTTATATAATTATTTTTCAAAAATTCATAGAAGATAATAAAAAATATAAAAATTAATACTCTTTGAACTAGACATAACTTACAATTAAATAAAAGTCAAAACATAATAAAGTAAAAGTATACAAAAAGAGTTAAAATTTGCTTACAAATTTCATATGTGCTCATCATGCAAAACTTGCATGACACTCTCCTTTTACTAGTTAACTAGTTTAATAACTTTATCAAAAACTACATTTTTGATAAAACTCTACAAAGGAATAATTTTAGTCAATACATGAAGTGTATAGAATTCAATTTCAATCTTGACTAGCTCAATCTTTTTATCAAAATTGTATGTTTGATAAAATTATTCAAAGAAATAACTTTGATTATTGCATGAAATGTATTGAATTTAACTTCAATCTTTACTACCTCACTCCTTTTATCTAAAACTGCATGTCTAATAAAGTGTCAACTGATGTCAATATGCTTCATTCTACTGTCAATCACTTGATTTGCAACAAGATGTAATGCATTCTGACTATCACAGTGAAGATTGACAACATATTGTTTCAAATACATCTTGGTGATAAGCTTATCTAATCAAATAGTTTTTTTGTTGTTTTTATTTCAGCTATATATTTACTTTCTATTGTAGACTGAGCTTGTAAGATAGATTTCCAACTAATGCATCCATCATCAAATGTAAACACATACATAGTGTAAATCTATTCTGATTCAAGACCTTTTCATAGTCAGCATCAGCGTACTTTAACAAGGATTTAACATTATGTAATAAACCATCAAACTTTAAATCATAATCCTTAGTATTGTCATGTAATTTTTGGTTTTGCTAAAAATAGCGTCGAGCCTAGGGTTCCAGGTTGTAGGGTATAGGTAGGAGACGGCTCGAAGAACGTCAATTCTTCGAGTCGAGCCTAGCGCGTTGAAGGTAGTGCCCGTGAGCGTCAGACCTGGAGTCTTCGAGAGTGCACGCCCCGTCTCCGCGCTACTTGCATGCAACACGAGCCTGCGTGCTTTCTGCTTCGGCCGACTGCAGAGCTCGTGTAGTGGCCGCTTCCGTTTGAGAGCAGCTGAATCGCGATGTTGGCTCTTCTCTGCTTCTCCCTTCCATCTCTGCTTCCGCGGCACTCGGGCTGCGAGTGATTCTCCTTCAGCTCTTGGTTGGGCTGGTGGCGTGGAGGCAGGAGTCTCTTCCTCGTCGGTGTCAACCTCGACGTCCTTCACATACCGCCCGGGATTGCTGCGTGACAGCAATGGAAAATGAACTCGATCGGTCGCGGTCAGACAACCCATCGACCGATAGAAATTGATCAAGAAGTGGGAGAGGTGATTGATCGATCCCCCCTTCTCCTCAAACGCATGCTGCCGCGTTATCTTCCATAGGATACGCGCCCAGTGAATTGGAGCTCCGATCAACGCCAGGTCCACGAATGCCACCTGCCAAGAAGTGATGTAGGTGGTCCTGTGCGGCTGCAAGAGTTGGAGAAGTGCTACCGCAACATTTCTGCGGTAGCGATCCTTGTAGTCCCGGGTCTTGTACCCGTTCTTGCTGGACTTGCTGCTCTTGAAAAGGGCCGTGAAGGAAATCTCCTCCTCCTTCGTGACCTTGCTCTCGCTATCAAAGAGGAGATGTCCGTCCTCTTCCGCACATCTTCCCAACACTTGTTCCTAGTCCTCGATGACCCATCGCTCTACGTGCGGTCAAAACCCGCGCGTAGGTTGGTCTCTCTCCTTCTGCCACTCGCGCATCATGTCCTCGCACACGTAATTCCACCCCCACAAGAGGAAATTGAGCTTCACCGCTCGTCGCCTTCTCCTCTGATTTCTCTCTGCCAACTTGCGTGCGCGCGCAGCTCTCGTGAAAAATCAAAAATGCAATTTCAAGAATGAGTCGCCTGCCTTCGGCTCACAAGATTTTATCGTCGACACTTGGAGTGAGGATCGCCCGACGACAGCCTTTCGGAGCCGCACGAAAAAAAAAATGTACATATTTTTTTTTGCTTGTACATATATCGTCCCACTTGATGGTTGCGCCGGCTTGGAGGCGTAACGGCCCTCCTCTCGCACGCTCGGCTTCACGCTCCGCCGCTGCGCGGACTCACACGCTCAAAAATTGAATTCGATTTCTACCATCGTACTTCGCAGTGGCTTGGTTCGCGCAGCGCCGAAGGCGTATCGCCGAAGGCGCGGCGATGGAGGCTTTCGCCTCTGGCCGACTCGCATCTCTGTTCTATCCCGCACTGCCGAAGGCGAACTTCTTTCGCCGAAGGCGTTGACCCGCAGCGCCGAAGGCGTAACTCTACCGCCGAAGGCGTTGACTCCCAGCGCCGAAGGCGTATCCTTGAAGACGTCCGTCAACGTAGGTGCATCGCCGAAGGCGCTGACCGCAGTCAACTTGTCTTGTCCTTTCTGTTGATCCCTCTTGTCTCGCCGAAGGCGCTTTCTCCGCGGGAGTTCCGTTCCGCCGAAGGCGGACCGTACGGAATTGCTTGCACCAAAGGCGTTGACCTAATCGTGATGCGCTGGCATTGAAGGCGCTCGTGCGAAGGAGTTCACACCCAAAGGCGTTGACTTAGGGCCGAAGGCGGCTCGTCCGTCGACCTAGCCCTTCCGCCGAAGGCGCTCCCTCTCAGTATCTTCCGACAATCGTAACTCCTTGATCCCTCATCCGTTTCAAGCGTTCACGGGCTCGTTCTAACGCGCTCGTTAGAACGAGCGCGTCGAGCTCTTTCCAACGAGACCCTAACCAAGTCAAGGCGTTATGAATTGAATAAGTTCTGAGGGATTTCCCTAGCGCCGAAGGCGGCTTCTCCGCCTTGCACCGAAGGAGATTCCCTTCAGAATCGGTCGTTCGGGCGGGGGCGCCTGTCCCGGACATTGCGCCCAACTCCTGGATTCTACGAGATTCTACGAGACCCGCGATCATCCATTTTCACTATATTTAAATGCACCGATTACTATTTACACTGCTGCTGCGGTACTGTTTTTCAAAAATGTTTTAAATTCCGCACAAAAACAAAAAGTGGGTTACCACACTCCCTAAATGCTTTTTTATATATATATATATATAAATATTACCATGTATATAACCTAAAACAACGAAAGAATAGAAATGCCAAAGTGTGATACATACAAAATGATCTAGATGTTAGTGAACGATATGGAAACATTGCAAAATGTTATATACGAGAAAAATTAATGATACAACAACTAATACATAAAACGTTACTGTGTATGATTTGAACGAAGTGATTAAAAAATGGTTACATAACGAAGAACTCAATAATGACAAGATAATTTTTGAAAAGTTGAAATTAGCCAATTGCAGATTGCCAAAAATTTTTAAATAAAGTAGTGATATAACAATCATCTTCAATTAGTTGAAATAACGATATAATTATTCAAGATTGAAAAATTTTGATTTATAGATAAAAAATGGTCATATTAGATTGTATTTAGATGATACTTATGCATTATCAATAAGTTCGCTTATTACTTTTATCTACTACATTATCAATTCACAAAGAATCAAATAGATGATGATAATAGATCTTATTACTTTGTATATGGTAAGGAAATAAATCCACATATAAGGTAACGGTAAAACCAATCCACATATACTCTAATCCAAAATCTGTGCTTTATTCTTTTACTTATAAGTTATTTTTAAATTATGTAGGGTTTAAACCCTTTTAAAACGATTTGCAACGATTTTCAAACGAACGATTTTTAAATTATGTAAGTATTTTCCAGATGTATTTGGTAAATTTTTAGCAAATATTGATTCTAATCAATCTTTGATGTCAATATATAATTAAAAATATTTTTTTCAAAACAAATGCATTATTTGACGGTTTATGAATTTTTTATAATACTTTTAAAATACACACTGATAAAAAAATAGAAAAATCGGATTGTTTTATTTGATTTATTTTAATTTTCAGATCAAATAAATTTGATGATTTTCAATAAAAATTTCTATTTAAGTTTTTATTATAATAGAATTATATTTCATGGATGTAAGAATTATTAATCTTTATTTTAAACTTAAATTCTCTTTTGCAAAAATATAATGATTTTCAATTGATAAATCTATAGAAGAATATGGCTAGAGGAAAATAAATCTTTATATATGAAGATCTTAAATATGTATGATTTGATTAAAATAAAATTAAAGAATAAAATAGTTAAATTTAAATTATAGAAATTTTTTAAAATTAAACTTTTTTTTCAAAAATATGAGTAAGTGGTATAAGAAATGACATTTTATATTTAAATTTGGAATCCAAAGAAAATTTTGATTATAAATTTACACTTTAATTGTAAAAAGAATATGCGAGCAATATTTTAAAAAGAGTTGGTGCTTGTTAATTTTATTAAAAAACACTAATCGAAATTTTTTTCAAATCAAGTAATTATTATAATCCTAAAATTCATTAAAATGAATTTTAAAGATTATTTAAAGGATTTTTTTCTTCATGATTGATACAATCGAGACTCAAAATTATATGGTTAGACAAGATATGATAATATACGCACCTTAACTGAATTATCGTCACTCTATGGGGAGAATCATACTCATATATATATATCAACATGTACTTAATCTATTTAGGAAATTTTTTGAATCTGTTTTCAAAATTTATTACCCAATTGATTTATATGTATTCTCGAAGCAATATTCTGCTATTTAGTCATATATAGGGATAATGAAGATTTCAGGTGTTTTGCTTGATTAGATTGATAACAGTGAAATCAATCTGAGGATCTATACATGTAATGAAACTGATAATTTACACCACTTACCGTGTCTAATTACTCAAGGGCTAATTCTAGGTAGTATGATCCATCTAGGAAAGAATTGGTGCATTACATATAAGTTACATCGCATTCATTGCCGAGATTTATTACAATCTTTACATTGGTATTTTCAGATTATCAGTGCTTATCAGATCTTTTTCCCCAAAAATATCTGATAACCACTGAACTGACTTCAATTGAATAAAAGCAAGAAAAATAATTTTGAGCTTTTATTGAACAGAACTTCAAAAATGTTGAGATTAAATGGACTACTAAAAAATGATAATTAGAGAGCTGTCCTTCACACTAACGTAACCAAGCGTTCATGAAATCCTTGGTATTATGAGAATCTCTATCTAAAATCTGAATAAACCTTTCAATGAACGGTGTGGATGTAAGTTGAAGCGCAATGAACAAATTCTGTATTTAAACCTTCTGGATGATGTCGACAAGTGCTGGACGATCTCGTCTTCTCACCATTCGAGCTCGAGCTCGAGCGCGCGAGTCCTGCTACAGAAGTACGAGGTTTGGACGATCATTGAGAGAAAGATTGCGTTTTGTTTTCCACTTACTTTACTAGAATTCTCCGCCGGGCCTTGAAGCTTTCCTTTTGCAAACAATCGGTCCTGGAAGTGAAGTTGCAAACCCTCGGCATCTTCGGGAACCCAAAGTGAGAATGGAAGTGTCAGAAGCGAACGAGGGGACGCACAAAAAGTTCAGGTGAAGGACGTTTCAGTCTGACATGTTCGCGTGCTTGGACATTGTGAGCCATTTGACGTCTTCTCGCTTTTGCACTTCGCTGTAGAATTCAAATGTTGGAGTCCAGAAACTTGCCAAACACTTGAAGTGTGACGCAGCTCGTTGCGTTCTTCGCGTTTAGCTTGCAAGTCTCAGTTTTTCTTTTAATTGGATACCGTTCTCACACATTGATTTTCCTCAGACGCCGGGCGCGCGTGAGGGTCAGGAAGAACCGAGGTTCCTCTCTATCATACACTGTAACGCGAAGTGCAGGGAGTTCAATCGTATAGCCTTCCTGCAATCTTCATTCTCAGACCCATTTGTCACAGGTACTGTAGTTACTGTGCTACGTGCGTGCAACAGTCGATGAGCTTGGAATTATTCTGACTTATTTGGTCGCTCTTGATATGAACGTAGATCGTCGCGACACATCAAGTAGCAGTGGCGAACATGAGAATGTCGAGAAAGACGACAAAGATGGTATCCTGGCAGATATCGTTACGGAGTCTCAAGAATCATCAGAGGGCCTGAATTCTACTTGCCATGAAGTTACAGTAAACACTAAAAAGCAGTTCAATGCGGCCGACGCATATGAGTTCTTATGTCAACGTGGGTACATAAGAAATTAATCTCTGTGAAAGTAAGATGTGATACGACGCTTATGTATTGATTACATGACTATGGTAAGACTTTCAGCTAATTTTTTCAGCTTTTCTTCCAGGATGGAATGAATCACTCGAGGTTGCCGCGAGCGTCTACGGCAATTATGAAGGTAGTATACCCAGCCTCAGAATCTCAGTAAGTGATGTCATCGGTGACATACATGAGCTTAGCTTTAAGCTAAGCTCATGTAATTCACCAATGGCATTAGTAGCGTGAAGAGCTCATTTCATACTTCCTGCAGTATGCGCATTGACAGGCTTTTTACTGGCATCATGTGCTTGAGTGCAGATCGACCTGTTATCTATCATCTTTTGCCGACTCCAAAAACTTACTCGGAAGTCTCTTCAAGTATAAAATGCTAATCCATTCATAAGATATTGTTCAAGGTATGCACTTACGCGTCGGACTCGCAGCATACGTTATGATGAATATGAGCTCTAATGGTTTTCTCGAAAGAAGAGAACTCACAGAAACTGTTGCCTTGTAATTCGCAGACACAGGAGGAGAGCCGATCATTGCAAATCCTTCTGCGTCCGGAGCTTACATCTACTCTATTTATTCAGAGGATGCCATTATGGCTACATGGGTCTGCTATGAGTCAATCTTGTCTGTCATGGCGTTCGTTTCACCTCTGCTATGTTCTTCGTACAATTTCGTGGCTGTCATATTCCAAGGTTTTCATAGATTTTGTTAACTACATGTTTCGATATTTACGCGTCTTTCTTTTGAAGGAAGATACGTTGCAAATGAGCTCTGAATATTGGTCTCATGAATTTCTTTCCTTTTATCCACAATTTACCTTTCACACCCTCACGTTTCACACCCTCACCCTCCTGTCCAATTTTAGTCAGCAAAGTAAAGTTTTGATTCTTTATAGTTCAGTGTATAGCAGGAATATAACGATGGGTGCAACTATGAGATGTTACCTCGACAGCGCCTCGAGTGTCAAATGATGAATAACTGCTCAGCATTTTGACTGGGTATATTTTATGATTCATCTTACGAGTTTTCGAATTCTGGATATCTTGCTTTTCTCTTTATCATATGATCCGTCTAACATTTAAAGTTTATAAGAAAAGATATCGAACAAAGAGTTTACTCTTGACTTTCAGGTATTTCTTTGATATTTTTTATAAAACATTGCTTCTTGAACTAATTCGATGGGAAGCTAGCTAGAACACCAACTTACTTGAAACACATGTCATATTCAGGTATTTAAAATATTGAATAATGTTGACTTCGATCGGTAATGGTTTACAAAGTTACATCGAGAGATAGACGTAATACTATGTGGGTTAAGACAGCAATTTCTTCGGACCAACCGAAATTCCTCCGCTTGGAATAAGTTGATCGAGCATATGCATTATATTATATCCAGGAATTACATCCTGCATATCTGCAGTTGGTCACTGGAAAATTGTTTTTTTACTAAGTACTTTCGTGTGACTCTAAATTTCGGCATTACATCGATCCGGAGCTGATTAAGGTTTTCTAAAAATAGGTTTTTCTTTCTGTTTCCTGCCAATTCCATAAATTTCACATTGACCCGTGTTCGTATGTTTTTGAATGACACGTTTAGTTTTATGTTAATCCACTTGATCATGACACTTTTCAGCAGCAGTTTGAGCATATAAACTACCACACCGTAAAGCTCAACGTGGCTTTTCAATCTCAATGTTTATTAGAACAGATGACGTAATTGAAAATCTTCAAAGTTTGACAGATGACATTAATCATATTATTAAAGGCTTAACAAATTTTATGATTGTGGTGATCAGATTGAACTTCCCCAATTAGTGATTAGCATCACATCGATAAGTGATTGGTTAACAATTACTTTTGGATGTGATCTTAATTTCTCAGCGCATAGCTTAGACAAATAAAAGATTTGATTACTCAGATCAACGTACAATTCTATGTTACGAAACTTCAAACATTCGTGAAGCATCGCAATTCTTGTTTAGTCCTCTTTAGAACAAATTCTTTCCCAGAAAGAGGCAGGAAACAGTAAAACAGGCTGTTCGACCAAATGTGACACAGGTATAAAAATGTGCTCGAAGGCCTGACGAACCTCGTTGCATTGAAATTTTCACAGCTTTGAATCCTTAATTCTTGCAGTTTTTTAACCAGTAATTTCAAAGTATCGTACTGTGCAGAAACTTTCGATTATGTACAAACAGTATGCTGGAAACATTTGAATTTCTGGTTTACACAAGAAATATCAACCAAATTCGTCAATTCTATCGTGAATTGAATATAGATTTGTAGCCGCTCATAAAGAAGTATTAAGTACATATTAAATTTATGAATCGTTTCTAATTTCTTCACAACAAGAAATTATCATCAACAAGGAGATTTAAATATTCTAGTATACTACATGAAGCAAATCATTTGACAGGACTAGACATTCTACTCTTGGAAGAATATATCCCCTACGAGTTCCTTGTAAACTTAGGACTGTCTGGAAATTATGATTCTTATAATTTCATCTTTCCATTTATCAATAGGTAAGTTAGACATTAGTAAGTCAATGTCCCTTCTTATAACACCGAGACCTGGCTATATTTTCGAATAACTATAATACCTTGAAATCTGGCATTGACGAAATAGAACTAGTTAAAAAACCGGAGAACACAGGGAGGCTCGGGATTATAATGATTGAACTGGATACAGCCGCCAAGAATGCTCTATCATGCATGAAAACAAATGCGGATTGGGGAAGTGCTCAAGGATCAGAACACAATGACATGAATGAGTCAGAGATAGATTTGGGATGGTCAGGCAGCAAAGGCCAAGAAACGTCCTTCGCCACCGGAGTCATTGTACATGTGTATTCATTCACTAACTAAGCATGATACCGCCAGCTCCAGCGATGAAGGTGGCGCGAATTCACCTGACAGTCGTGCGCAAATGACATGTATCATGCGCAGACTGTTCCGGACCAGCTCACATACCCAGAAGCTGTAAGTCTCGTCCAGTTGAAGTTCCAGCTCATGACACCTCTACATACAACATACTCCTCATGACCTTTATCAATCTCTCTAGACCTCCAACACAAATTCTGGGACTTCTACTGTAACCACCTTCATGTGAAGAAAGTGTGCCTCCCTCTGTCTTACCAGCATCAGATTCTATAGCCTGTCTGGTAGGCCTGCCATGGACCCTGGCTGCTATCATTCATCTGGTGATAACTGGACGAATATCCGAACTGTATTTAAGCTGGTGGGTTCAAGTTTCCACCTTCTGCCTCTTTTCGAGGGGAATTTAATATATCTGTCTACAAATGAACTCCTAATATCTAATTTCATAAATGTTTGTGAAGTAACTTCTGATAAGCTCAGTGTCAACGTGTTGAATCAGCTGAATTCACTGTTGTTGTGTCCCCTCTGAAGTTCAACCAATCTGCTGGACATTCACTATAGGAGCTTTGAAGTAGACCACTATTCTAGACCTGGTCGCTCCAAGATGTTCGTGCCATGGATTGCCTCGTAATCACGAGTATGCCAAAGATGACATTTCAATCGGCGTAGGCAGCACTCAGGGATTCAGAAAAGGATTCAGAAAGTGTTCAGCCACGTGCAGTTCGCACACCTTCGCTTGTGAGCAAAAACATAATTCCAAAACCACACTCACAGATTGACTCTATGATTGGTGTTCTCATTCCTTTGGTTAGAGCTCTCCACTTATGTCGATTCTAATTTCTCCAGCCTCTCCACCATTGGTTTCCTCCATTGTATCCGTTGTTTCCATTGAACTTGGAATTGCTCCCGTCGTCGTTGTTGTCCCACGAGTCATTGACGTTGCTGCTGGCCTCGTATGTTTGACCGAATTGCCATGTTTTCGGAGCAACAGTCCAGAAAGTAAATGTCTGTCCATAACCCACGGTGACCTTGAAGGATATACTCTGTCCGGTCACTTTTGTGCCACACTCCCACATCTGGCCCCAATTCTGCTTCATGGGAACCCACCCGGAGTAAGAGTTCTCACCCTTCATTTGAACGGATACCACGTTCCCAGATCCTCCGACGTTGCTCAGAAGAATAAGGTTGAAATTAGGATTCCCGTTTATCGTAAAACGAATCCCACCTTTCTTGGCACATGGGACCCTGCGGATGACAACGACAAGACATTCATTCAGGATAATCGAGTAGTCATGCACTGGAGCGAATAGAATGTAGAGGAATATGCATATCACCATAATGCAAAGTCTTGAACCAGGTGATGATATATTTTCAAAGTGGTTTAAAACGTGCAACAATTCAGACGATTTGAAAGATGGGCTTGATGGATAATCTTCTGAATTCGAAGCATTTTTTATCAATGGACATAAATGCAACCCACATGAGCTTCTTCGTTCATACCTTCGGTACTGGACAGGGATGATTCCAGCTTCATAAATGGCCAGGGTTGTAAACATCTGGTATGTCAGGTCGAAGTGAGTCCTGTCACCATTGCACCAACCATCGGTGGGTCTGTTGGGATTGGCAGGGCAGTAGTTGGTGGCGGTTACGATGACAGATGCTGTACTGGAGTAGCAGTACTTCGACTGACTTGACTTACACCTGATTTCAAAACATGCTCCGCAGGTGAATCCATCGTTGAACAATTTTGTGCTCAGTGCAGCAGTCTTCATCCCATAGCCTCTAGCGTTCATGTTTCCGTAGCCGCATGCTCCTCCTGCATATCGAGTCTTGACATTAGGCTAGTCCATCATGCGCATCCGAATGGAAGAAAAACTTGTAATTGGCCATACATATGAAACTGCCTCTCGATATGTCGAAGCAAATGCTCTAGATCCGGTCCAGTTATAAGCCAGAAATTGACTTACCCATGGTGCCCGCACCATCCTTCCCTCCATACCATGTTGCATGTGAGTCTGTCCAAGTTCTGGCCGCGAAAGCCTCTGCTGCAGAGACACTAATCGGTGCGATGCTCAAAAGCATCATTGCGCTCAGAAAAAGCCCTGAGGCCATCTTAAAGGACCCTGTCATCTGCAATGCAAAGTGATCAGCAGTGAAAATTCAGTAGATAGAATTTTTCAGACTGATATTTCGTGGTACCAACTATTCTCTTAGCTCTAAGTATCTATGAAGACGATGGTTTGAGACTGTGTCATAAGAAGGACCTTCAAGCTCTTCAGGAAACAGGAAGCAGCGTGATGCTCTGGAAAATTACTGAATAACCTGTACTATCCTCAGGTTTCTCTAAGGGCTTTGAAGAAGAAAGAAATCTAGTTTCACTTGAGTATTCTACTTAGTCTTTGGAGAAGATCGAGGAAAACGTCGACAAATTTTGAGAAGCACTAGATGAAGGAATGAACTGCCTAGAGGGTGGTCCAATGCTGAATCCTCAGAAAACTCTCGCTATCGATTTCTACACATACTACCAAGAAACTTGTTAAGCAATGGGTAGAAAGAACTTTGTCTGGAGTACTACTACAGACCAGGATATTTCATATAAAATTACCTGAATCAGCACTCGAAAGCAGATGACTGGTCCGAATCTAGCTTCTGAATTCAAGAGGAGAGCGCGAGGGTACTGCAAGGTTCTGTGTGTGTGTGTGTGTGTGTGTGTGTGTGTGTGTTAGTGATTAGGTGCTTTATGAGGTGAATCTTATAGCTGCATATCGGTCCAGGAGATGAGAATGTAGATCATCAAAACTACCCACTTCTCACATGAGCAGATCTTATCTCGCGATTGATCCTGGACTTGATGCCAATTCTGACTAACATTGTTCAGCCTTGCACATGAGCTGGTTGTTCCAGTGAGATATTGCTGAGTAAATTATTCCCTTCCGTGAAAACTGGCTCAAGAAAGCTACATTATCAATAAACATTCAAACGCGTTGTTGTCGGATGCCTTGGCTTCGGATATCCCAGTAAAGGTCTATCCAAATTCTGCCTCAGGCTGATCTCTCGCAGGTAATGGTTGTTTAGCACATTATTCACCAATTATTCACTCAAAGGAATCAAGGGCAATTGTACTTTCTCGTACATCAGGTGATCTGTTCAGACGTCTGGCCCTACGTGTGGTGAATTGATCCTTCAATACTTCATGATCCTCCGCAGTTTGCTGATGCAAGGAAGGCAAAGTCAGTGAGATGATACATGCGTTGAAAGATTCTTTGTTCTCATAGTCACCGTCAGCACAAGGGACGCCTGTTTCGGAAGAATGTAAGCTAAATTTCGTTCACAGCTATGAATGAGGATTTCAAGCAGCAACAGGAGAATCACTTTCGGCGTTTTACCCATATTTGTAACCACATATCACGCTGTGCTTACTGAATCTTTGAACTCACAAGTGATAATCTTCTCGGTTAAGAGTGGGAGACAGCGTGGGTGGCCCCACCCAAGTAGAAACCATGATTTTAATCACCCCTCATGTCCAATTGATCAACTCAAAATGAGGTCGCACGTCCAAGCATAGTCATATTGCCTTCTGTACACACTGTTGGGTGAATCATACATGGACAAAGTGACTCACATCTTAACAAAATGATTCCAGTCAAGTACTAACTTGGACATAGATTTCGCGGCGCATCTGAGGAGGCTTTGCTCTCGAGACAATCGCTGCTGCCGTGTGATGAAAAATCACGAAAACGCCTCCCCTATCTTTTCATGTTTCGTATGCGCTGCCTGGAAAAATGTTCCCGTCGGACTTGTACCACTGTGACGACTTCAACAGAAAGCGTAATTCTTGCTGATTCCCTGTATGCTGATCATACATCTGCGAAGCAAGTTTTCTCGTCACCTCCAGTCATACGCCTCGCTCATGACCCACACTCAGCCTTCTAGAAAAGCCCCAAATCCGGAATCCCTTTTCATGCCGTAGCAGTCTGAGCCAAGTCCTCGTCGTCGATTTTGGTTCATTCCCTTTTCTAAAACATTCAATAATTCTGGATCTGGTTTCAGACTTGTTGATCATGGAGCGAATATCTTGAAGTAGTCCTCTTATGAATGATATTCACTTGTGATGAGTTGAGCGAAGGAACAGTACAAATAGATAGACCAGTGAGCCTTGTTATAAGGCCTCTTCACATCTCGTCTACAGAAGCCTTCAAATAGGATGCAGACTATACAATTAACGAGCGCATGACATCGGTACGTATTTTCTACCTTTAAGACCTAACAAGCTGGTGGAGTTATTATAATATGTAAAATGAATAGAACAGATGCACAACCTGAGTGACTGTGGAGATCTTTCAGAGAATTTTGGCCAAATTTTTTGTCCTACAGTAACTGTAACATGGAAAGTCAGTTATGCCCGATATTTCCGACCGGCTGGCTCTTCTCCTTCACTCTCAACTCTGATACTATTAAAGAAAGATTTGCACAATAGAGAATATCATTCTCCAGTGTGCACATAGACGACAATTATCAACACCTACGGATTGGGCCTAGTAAATTATACACATGCATGCGTAATAGGTGGATACTGTATTTGAGAACGAACGAGCATAGTTCCTGTGCTGCAGGTGGAGTCTGCATGATCATAGATATACATCGAATGACTTGGATATGAACCAGATTATAAAAAATTACTGATGCGAATTTTGTTACTGGATGTTATGCAGATCTGAGCGGAATATGCAATCAAAAGTTTTCTGACGCATGTTTCTTTATTAAGTTTTCGATATGGATACTAACTTAGGCAATGAGACAAAAGCTCAGATCATAGATATGATTGGACATTAAGGCAGATCAGATGTATACTTCAAAAGTTGAAAATAGAATAACACAACTTGTTCTATAAAGAATACTAAACTATCCACCTGTTACTCATGAATGTCGTCAGCATATATGTATATCAGGTTGATGTTCGACTGTCATTACAACTTCTTAGCTCATAAAGTGTAGTCGAGGCAATGACGTGGGACTTCAGCTGAGACATTTCAGTAGAATTAATACTGATACATCAACCTATAGCTCAACATGGGTGTCAAACTGCTTACGAAACTCTTACTATTCTTGCGCTTTCTAACCACCAGATCACATGGATCACACTGTCGTTTAACTGCTTGTAACGTTTTAGCTGTTGGTCTGCTGCGTATCTATGCATCAAACATCAGACTGTTGTGCGGAAGATTCACTTTCTCATACCTCGACCTCAACAAAATTATCGGAATTTTCATTCCGTAAGTTTAGTAAAATTCACTGGCTTTCGCTACTTGCGTGGATGACACATGTGTAGTAGGTGTCAGTGAAAAGTATAGCGAATTTATACAGCTTATGGTAGTAATAAGAATGTCTCTCTCACGCATGATGATGCCTGAGTGCTCTCGTCCATTTCCTCGCTCTTACGAACGCCATGCTTGGTTGTCACATTAAGTGATTAACTGCAAGATGACACTTATTTCCACGGCTGCAAACATTCTTTCTTCACAGAATTACGGTGCACAGACAATCATGATATTCTACGGTATAGCCGTCTCCGAGGAAAGCTCTGCTCCACAGAACTGCTTTTCTTCCAATAACTACCATAAAATATTACAGTCGCTCCTCACGCCAGAGTGGATTGCAGGAGCAAGCCCCCTTGTTCGCTGAGCACGTGCCTTTGTGAAGGTTTTACTAGGCTCTGATTTACAGGTTACTTTGCGCTTTCTGTGATAGAATGGACTATTGATCTACAAATAGCCCCCGTCTATTATGAATTGAGACAGAGAATTCTACTTTCTGGGTATGAACTCAGAATGCTCGCCCATATTGTAAAACTAGAATTGTCCTCCATCTACATATGGTGAGCGTGCGAGCATGTTTTGTTGGAGCTTGGAAGTCAACAATATGACGAAATAAAGTAATTATTGGCCACAGCGTAAATAGCACCAACAACAAGTTGGACAGAGATAGTTGGGATTAATGCGTTTTTGGCATACTAATGGAAATAGATCGTTCATTCCGAAGTGAATAGGCGAAAGTTAGCGGTAAGGAAGATTCCGCTCGCTGCCGGCTGTAAATGAAACGTCAGAAGGGTTCCCAAAGATGTCGAAGTTCTGATGTGTAGTACTTTCGCTCTAAGTGACATCATGTTAGAGGGCTGTCCTCTGCGTCAATGAGCACTAGATGCGCCATCCTCACCCAAAGCAGCGTCTTATTACTTAATTTACTAGTACCTTTATACGTCGCCGCTGCCGTGGATAAAACCAGTGTTACCCGCGTGGCAGGCGGGAATGATTACCATTACAATACAGCCATCTGATGAATAGCATAAGCTTAGAGTTATGAAAAATATTGCTTTCTCGAATAATTCGTCGGAATGTCCACAGTATTTGAGGGGTCACAGCAAAGCCTGTGATGGTTGCGGGTACGTTCTGGTTCTACCAGCATCACCACAATCTTAAAACAGAAGAGAATTCTCGGCATCACAATGTATGTGGAGTTTGCCTCTCCTCGCGTACGATTCAATCGCCCTTTGGTGCAGAGAGTTTCGAGTACTCGTCTGCTAGGTATGCTCAAAGCTCGGCTAACGGCTAGCGGGCTAATATTTTTTGATAGGCGGCTAGACGTCGACTTAAGGGCCTAATCGGATCGCTACCCGAGACCGAAAGCGATCCTCAAACTCGGACCGACTCTGAGTTTTCGGCCGATTATTTCGGCCGATTTATCCGAAATTATACCCCAAATCCTTGTTTCGACCGAATATTTCAGCAGAAATGCGTTTTCGGTCTATAGCCGTGGCTAAACTTGAGTCCCTAGCCGGCTAGCCGAAGATTAGCCGGCTACGTGACCATGCCTATCGGCTGCTGAAACCAATGTACGTGGAATCCGCAAACAACTTCCACCCTCGTTATGTAGTCAGAATAGTGGAAGGTACGACAGATCCCACACAGAGAAAAGAATATTTCGGTGGAATCCGCAAACAACTGCCACCCTCGTTATGTAGTCAGAATAGTGGAAGGTACGACAGATCCCACACAGAGAAAAGAATATTCCAATCCCCTTCTCGAACCGCAGTCCTCGAGGGCGCCAAAATCTAAAATTGTCTGATCCCGGGCTCGAACCGGGGACCTCTAGTGTGTGAGACTAGCATGATGACCAACTACACCAACCAGACTCGTTGTCTTGGTTAGAAAAAATTATGTAATTATATCAATAAAACTTTATTTAAAATTCAGAAGTTGTCCGATGTTGATATTTTTAAGGTGTGAAAGATGTTTCGAGAATAGAAAATACATCTCAAGAAAGATTGTGTCTTTGAATGTTTGGACTGCTTCATATTTATATCCGATCATTTGTATTGGTGTATACCGATATGCATCTGCCAGCCACTAGAGAAAGAGAGAAGGTCGAAATCCGATTAAGAAGCTGATTTCAACAGAGGGCGTTTTCAGAGCTTTCGCGAGCTCAGTCCTGCATTGACAGATTCTTTTTAGAGTACTTGATGAAAACTGTTTCATGAAACTCGGAGGCACTTGACGTGGACCGACGAGAGAAACGATGTCATCTCTTCACCCATAATTAAGGATGAGAGCTTTGAAACGAATCCACCTTCATCCAGGCTCGAATTGAAGACCTCCAGTGTGTTAGAAAGCAAGTCCTCATCATACACTTGTTCAGCAGCAATGCTTCGTCTAAGAAAACTC